TCATTTCAAAACTCCTACTCTGCAGTGCGTCCTTGACTAACCGCCTGAGTTCATTGAAATCAGCTTTCCTAAAGTCTAGCACTTTCACCGTACTAGTTACCTTACCCACCCAACGTCTTATGGTGAATTCTATTATTAGGTGATCACTGTCCCCCAGATGGCTACTGATCTGTAGGTCCCCTACCATGTCATCCCCCGTTGCCAATACCAGATCCAGTATGGCATTCCCCCTAGTGGGACCATGTACCTCCTGTGTCAGGTGGAGGTCCTGTACACAGGTTAGAAACCTGCATGAGCGTTGGGACTTTGCCGTCTGTGTCTCCCAGCAGATGTCTGGGTAGTTTAGGTCCCCCATGACTACCGCCTCTTTAGCTTTTATGGTCTCCGTGAGCTGCCTCAGGAGCCCTGTTAGGTATAACATCAGCCAGGGGCCTCAGATATACTGAGAACTTATGCAATGCAACTGTTTTAAGCAAATGGTCTGTAGTAAAGCATTCCTAGTGTCATCCTTCATTCAAAGATGAGCTCTATTTTATATAGTCACAAATAAAAAGTCAGTAAATTGTACTTAGGATTGCCAAGTACGCAAGAGTCACCAGACATGCAATGTAAGAAAACTGTAATTAACATACAATGGGCTCCTAAGTCAATATATAGGCAGACAAAACTCTTGGGGTAGAGGCAATATCTTTTATTAGGTCAGATAGATAGTTGCAAGTTTAAAAAATGTTTCCACCCAGGAGAACCATACCTTCTTTCAGTTCTCCTGTGCAATATGAACAACTTAACAAGAAAGAAGGGACTTCCAAGGGAGGTGGTGCTCTACCCTATCTTGGAGGTCTTTAAGAGGAGACTAGACAAGCACCTGGCTGGGGTCACCTGACCCCAGTACTCTTTCCTGCCCAGGGCAGAGGGTTGGACACAATGATCTACTAAGATCCCTTCTGACCCTAAACATTGATGAAATCTACAAAATCTATGAAGCACAATTCAGCAACCTGCCTCCCACTGGACACTTTGATGTAAACATCCTGCTCCAGCCTTTGTTTGAGCCTAATCAGCATACTTGCAGAGCAGCTTTTTTACAAATGAACTTTTCTACCCAAGAGAATCACACCATCTTTTAGTTCTCCTGTCCAATATGAAATTTTGTTTCTACCTGGCATACATTTTACAATCTTTGTATTCTCCTTTGCCTGAAGAAGGGTGTTTGGGCCCAAAAGCTTGCAAATAAAATACTTTTGCAACTATCTAGTTGGTCTAATAAAAGATATTGCCTCTGCCCCAAGAGTTTTGTCTGACTATGCCTTTAGACCAACATGGCTACAACCAATATTCCTAAATCAACATATAGTACTTACTGCTCAGATTTCTAAAGTTCTCAAATACCTGCAAATTTCACATTGACTTTTGTAGGTATTGCTGTTTTGCAAGCTACTGTTTGTTTAGATCTGATGTTTTGGTTTCAGCTTTTTGTCATAGCTTGGTCTAGTCAAGCATTTCTCAACCCATGGGTTGCGATCCAAAAGTGGGTCACAAGAACATTTCAAAGGGTCACAAGCAAGTGCAAGAAAAATGTGCAAAAGTGCAGTTTTCTCTTTGCAGACTGGCAATGTTTGCCTCCAAGGGGCTGCTTGGAGCATAGCCAGCAGGCAGCCGGGCAGGATTATGGGAGCAGTCCCAGCAACCAGATGAAGGTAAGTGTGTGGGGAGCAGGGGTGGAGGGCCAGGGCTTGGGAACTGTCAGGGTGGGGATGGGCAGTGTGTGTGTATGTGTGTGTGTGAATGTGTGGAGGGAATTGGTGTATGTGCGGGGGCAGGTGCATGCCAGCACTGGGAGAAGGTGGCTGGGTGGCCAGACACTGAGGATGCAACAGGGTGGGTTGGGTGTGGGGGTGGAGGACTGTGGGTTGGCACTGGCAAGGCCAGGGAGGGATGGGTCGGGACAAGCCATCAATCTTTGCAAATGGGTCCCAGTATAAAAAAGGTTGAGAACCACTGCTCTAGTCAGTCATATGTGCACACATTATGTCACTACAATTCCTCTGATGGTTATTTCCTCAGGATGAGTGGGGTAAATTAATTGGCCTTAAACATCTCAGATGGATTATCTCTGAATCTGGGTGGGACTGGCAACTATGAGTTTGAGATGTTTGGGAAATCTCAGTACTGAAGGACATATTGTAACATCGAACTTCAATAGAGTACATATAAAGCAAGACCTGCCTGCCTTTAGTCACAAACACTTGAGTTAATCAGTAACATTTACTTTCTTCCTGAATGTTCTTTGCCCTTTTATAATGTATCTGTAACAAAATCTATCTATACTGCTAAAACACAGCCTGTGCCTCAGTCTCTCTCCACAGTTTCATAGAGAAACAAGCATGGATACGAACAGGAGGAGAACGCCTATTGAATTACTGAATGAGATATTGGCTAACAGTGAAAAGATGGTCCCAGAATATTTGTTAATTTCCTATGAAGGAGTTTTGTATCCTGCCAATTTTTGCAGCCCAGAAAATTTCAAAGCACTTCAGTCTTTTGAAGCAAGGAATGATGATATAATCCTAGCAGGATACCCTAAAACTGGTGAATATTACTAGTTTGCTACACAAATTAAATGTAACATGCTATACGTGTATTCATTGTATTGAATGCTGATGGATGATTAATGAATTAATGCAGTTTAAGGTAAATGGGGTCTGTTACGAAGATAGTGTTTTAGGGGTTTCTTAAAACAAGTAAGATAGTTTCTTCTGTAGACTGCCTACATTGGAGTATGTAATGTATTTTAGTGTGTAGGCAGGGGTGAGGTTTGGAATGAATTACTTCCATTCACTTAGTCTCCGCCTGAATAATTACATTTTTCAGTAATTATACATTTAGGGTTTATTGGTTTAGAATATAGATACAATTTTTTGGTAAGTTTTTGGTAGTATCTGCCTCAGGTTGAATCTGAATTCACAAGCATGAAAAGTAAAAGATTGTAAGATCTAACCCAAATATCAAAAGAGACATATTATTAAAATGCTCATTTATGCCTCATTTTAGATTTGATTCAGTGAAGACCAGAAATCTTTACTAAAATCAATGCCAGTTGATTCTGAGTGAGTTGAGAATAACACAGCAGAAACAGTTTCACCTTGATGGTGTTTCAAAGGTTGGAAGCTTGGAAAACAATCCTTTCACTTATAAATTGAACAAATGTGATTTGGAATGACAAGATCAGATTCTACCATCAGTTACAGTAGTATATATTTGGAAAGATTCCAAATTTACACTGGTAAAATGAGAACAAAAGAGCAATTTACCTCTTCAATATGAGTGAATCCAGATTTCACCTAACCTTGAATCATCAGTGCTGTTGCTCTGTTTCCAGCTAAGCTGCTTTCTTTTGAGAAGCCATTATTGTATCATTTGCTTTTGGTAAAGTTAGTATTGATATAATGTTGATTGGCAAGAAACAGCATATTCAGTGGCAACAATTATCATTACTTTATGATTTGCATATGACTTTCTTTCACTGAATCAAGAAACATGCTTCTGAACATAGTGGCTTCTAAGTAAATTGTTCCTCACAAAGTAGATCATATGACACAACTCAGTTGTTCCTGTTTGTTATATTGGTCACAAATTATATAATCTGATGGAACAGTACTTTTCTGTTCATTGGATGCTGCTGTTTCAAAAAAACAGTAGGAAATGTTTCTGTATCACAATAAGATTTCTAGGTTTTCAGCTACCATCTTTGACTGCCAGTTATTCTTTTGCCCTGGTTGTTGTTATTATTATTATTATTATTTAAAGACAAGAGTATTTGCAAGCCAGCTAGGTTCAAAGCTGTAGTGAAAATTCTCAAGTCACAGTTTTGGAACTGGTTTCTTTTTTTCAGGTACAAATTGGCTTGAACAAATCCTGAAGGATTTGGAAACAACAGCTGGCAAATATACTGAAGAGGAAATTAATTCTAGAAACAGTATTGAAAAAGAAGTACCAATGATTTCACGGCTAGAGTTTAGAGATGAAAAGCAATTTCAGGTCAGCAAAGAATATTAGGAAAAATAATATCAGCAATGTTAACATGCACTGTTTGAACCATCTGAGAATTGTTAAAAATATAATAGCTGTCTTAGGCTGTGGATGGTCCATTATCTCCCCAACTTTGTGATCAAGTCATAACAACAGGGATAGCCTAGCTGGGCTAGGGAGTTCTGAGAGTGCTTCAGATGTACAGAACAGTGAGATCAATGTCAGATATAGTATTAATTGATTATTGAAAAGGATATCACAGAATAGTTTTGGGGCTGCAGCACTGTATGTTATATTACTCCCTGAAGTGGAAAATGATAATGAAAACAGAGCAGTGTGCTGACCATGGTCCAGTACAGGCCCTGCCATGGAGATTATTTTTCTCCAAAGCCAAAGTAATTTGTCCAAAGTGGGGTGGGAGAGGGAAGAGCAGAGGGAACACTAAGTTAGTGGCATCTATGGATCATAGGATCATAGGAAAGAGGTCAGGAAGGGATCTCATGAAGTCACGTAGTTTAGCCCCCTGCTCAAGGCAGGATCATCCCTAATTAAACCACCCCAGGTAAGTGTCTCTCAAATATGTTTTTTTTTTAATTTCTAGGGATGGAGAAACTCATGGACTCCCTCAGTGATTCAGGAAGTCCTACCCCTGAGCGTTCTTCCTGTCTCTATTACAGGTTACCTCTACATTGTAATCAGAAGTGTGATTGCCACATTAGCTTTAATCTGATGCTGGTAACACTAGCATTGAGAATACAGTGGCACAGACATCAACACACGTTGTACAAGCCTACCGAACAGAGTTGGTATTAGACTTACAGAGGCTGTGGGTAGAGGCTAAAGCGTTGACTCTTCCCTTTCCCCTACCTCCACAGTGGGTGACTTTTACTGATTTAGTGTAGTGGGGACCCAGGTTATTGCTCCAATTTCTTGCTCCTAAAACTAGCTTTGGCAGCATATAGATATACCAGTGTATGCACTTTGATAGTTTTCCCTTTCAGGAGTTCATGCTTCTGAATCTTAAACTTCTAGTGTTACCCTAAACTAGGTGGATTAGAACTTACTTGGACATATTTACTGTTACTGCAATCATGCCTCTCAACAGCAGTATAGGTGTACCCAGAAATAGTTGGCAGCAGGACATCCTGACGAGTCTGGGGGGGATAAAACAGCAACAGAGAATTTTGGATTTATGCTCCCTCTTTGCCCATGATTCTTTCAGAGCACCTAAAGGCAAAAATTACTGAGTGTTTGCTATAAAAAGCACAGGTCAATAAATAAATAAGAAAACATGGACTGTGGCAGTATGGATGGTTAACAGTTGCTGGATGAAATGTTGCTTTCTAGGGCATAGGGAAGAGTTTCTTTGACAGTCAAATGCAGAATCAATAAAAGAAAATTCAGGAAATGAGCATTTAATTATAAATGCATAATAATACTCAGGAACTCATGGATTCTGTAGCTAGTCCATGGCTGGTTCAGACTGCATGCACATTTCCTATACCATGACTGCATTTTTATCATTTCTGAAGTAACTGGCTTTTTGTATATTAAAGGTATGAAATTTATGGCTGCAGTTTACAGAGTCCTTTTACTAGTTTGAAGCAGTTTCATGATACAGGCAGTGCAAACAACAGCGCACAGATCTGCCAATGCATCTCACATCCAATACTAGGTAGGGAAGGAATTTTCTTTCTCAAAGTCCATCTCAGCTAAGATTCTTCTGAAATATATAGTTTGACTCTGTATTTGAACTGAATATGTCAGCCTGAATGATTGCCCAGGACAACTATGATGTTGACTTCTGCAGCCTATGTATGCACGTTATAAAAATACTTACTTACCACACAACATAAATCATATCTACATTTTATGTGCCAATTTTTACAGTAGATCTCAAAGTTTTTAACAAAGCAGGTAAATATCATTATATCCAATTTGCATATAGGAAAACTCACAAAAATTAGAAGAAATTTACTCCAAAGCACCTGAGATATGTTTACGTGACACAATACATTGCTATGTAGAAATACCCAAGCAAAACTGAATGAGCTAGCTTGGGTACCAGAAGCAGCATAGCTATGTTGGACTCAAATGAATTTGCCCTGTCACTCAGAAGGGATAGCTAGGTTCACAGGATCAGAGGAAAGTAGGGCTGGAAGGGACCATACAAGGTCATCTAGATTATCCTTCTGTTCAAGGCAGGGTCAATCTGACTAAAGTATCCTAGCCAAGTGCCTGGTCTTGAAAATTTCCAAGAATGAAGATTTCATGGTTTCTCTAGTAACCTGTTCTGGTGCCTGATTACCCTCAAAGTAAGTTTCTCCTAATCTCCAATCTAAATTTGTTAAATATCAGCTATTCTATCTTGGTTATTCTGGGTCCTAGCCCTGTGTAGCAGAGAGGAAGAACCTGCTACATTGAGGGACTTAACTGCAGATGCTGGCACCATGAGCCAATTGACCACCAGCAGCAGAAGAAGGGAAAG